TATTTCTCTCGGTTGTTGAAAACTCATCTTCAAATCATTTCCTCGACTCTTTCTAAGAGTGATATCCACATTTCTATGGTAAAAAGTGTTCCAAGCCTGTTAAAATTATGAGGTAGATAATCAAAATCGATGCAAGTGTTTCTGGGAGAAGTATGTCAAGAAAACAAGTGCTGTACTTACTAGAAAAGTCATTCCAAGATGCGGAAGCTTGACATCATGAAATCCTTAGTAGAAATTCTGAGGTTATCCTATCTTGGTTTCACCCTTCGATAGATACGAAATTGTATGTGCATAGTTTTGACCTATATCCGTCTCTATGTTCCTGCCCAGAAGGTGTGTGTATTTTACAACACAATGTCAAGTGCTTGTGTAGGTGTGTTCGAAAGATGCATTGTAGATTATTTTCTAAAATTCATGTCTTCTTTTAAGCTTTTAGAAAATATTTGGAATTTGAATATACGTTTTAACTTATTTGTTTAGATGCAAATATTAGATGTTATATGAACAAGGATTGAAGTTGAAGCCAAGAAATTCACATCCTTCTTTCTGGATAGCTCATTCCTGGTTATGCCAGGGGATAGTTATGACTGCCTGTCATGTGTATGTTATTAGACACTGGGATAGATGATTTAAAATTCTACAAATTTTAAAGGGTGTAGCTGCAAAAAAACTAACGTTCTTTACTGTTTACTGTAAAATTGAACATTTGGTAAGCAAGTTTATTGTATTTTCTCTTAGTGCATGGAACTGTGGCTCGGGAAAGCACATATCCCTAGATTGGCACGAACCCGAAGTTTTTCAAGGCTGGCTGCCTATTCGTTATCCATCATGGATGGCAAACGAGTTAAGTTTCTCTCTCCACCCCCAAGCAATAGTTTCGGGAGTATGTCGTTCCATATACTTATATATGTGTGTTACTCCATGTATAGTCGTGTGAACGCAGTTGGGATGACAAAGTGCATCTACTGAATCTCGTCATCAATAATTTAGAAAAAAGAATATGTTCTACACATGTACTCCCAAGCATGGCATAGTGAGAAGCATGTATTACTTTGATATCGTTTTTCATGGGTTTAACTTCTTGTATCAGACTCGCATTATGAGGGAGGATTTATGTGCTCATGCCTGGCAATTTCACTTCAATAAGGTATGTTGGTCTTTTATGCAGTCATCAAACATTGTTTCTGGACGCTAACCATCATGTAATGAATTAGATAATATGAAACCTGGTTAGGAGAGGAGGATATTGAAGTTCTAAATTAACTGGATGAATTCTTTTACGTTTGTGTTTTATGATTGATTAAACCTGCTTATGTTATTACATATTTTCTACACATTTGAGTACCTTTTATCTTTTCTACACCATTCCTTAGGCATCTTACGAAGATTCATGGTATCTACATCTAATTTTATCCTCGTCTTAGTTGCACACCAACTATATGGTTTCCATCACAAATATTCATAATTTATTTTAAGTGTGCCCTACTCACTGGGAGAGGTTAGATGGCTGGTGGTGGATATTTTAGCAATACAAATTTCATGGATGATCCTCACAGCTTAGATAGCCATGCTAGTGATTGTGTTAAAAAAAACATCTAACATGCACCCCAAAAAAAAAAAAAAATTCCCATACCACTTGGATTTGGAACTGTCTATGGAGCATGATAATCGTATATAATGCGTCTATTTTCAAATTTGTGTGGTGTCATGGCCGTGTCTATGTTTCTTCGTGAAATGTCTGCTGGTACTCACAATATTGATGGCCGTACTAGTGATTTAGAGGGTATATCCCAAAAGGTGTCTACTGCTTGATCCTGAATACCTTTTGAGAAGTACAATTGCATGGTTCTATTATCATGCTCGAGTGCAGGCTGGTTTTAGTCCAAGCTACCAATTTTCTGCTTAGATGCAAATGTATCTAAAGTTATAATGTGCAACCGACTGAACATCCACGTCCAAATCTTTAAGGCACCTTTCCTGATGAGGGGCAAATTGATTCATAATGTCTGGTGAGTTAATTTCTGTTCCCTTCAGGAAGCTCCCATATACTGGCGGAATCTTGATCCGTATTGGCAAGGCAGCCACCCTCTGATGCGCCGATATTTCCATCCCGATGGGAGCCAAACTGCTGATCCTGATGATAGAGTATGGGGTGGGCATGAATGCTGCTTTTCCACGGTTACAAGTTTCATCGGCGATGGGGAGATCAGAGAACACTACGTGAGGATAAACAGATGGCCAAGAATGTTTGTGTCAAGGAATGAAGATTGGAGCTGGAAGATGTCGAATCATTTCACCTCGTACTCAAGCATAGCCGATGCTGACAAGGATAGCGGGACGGGGCCACTCTAACAGCTGGTGAGAAAAATGCTTGTTTGCTCTTTCTAGTAGAGGCTGTCGTTTTACTGATAACAGAATTTTTGGTAGTATGCGAAAGGAATTGGTGTTGGGTTAGGATCACATTTTCTTTTGATCCTCTGCACAGAATTGGGAGTTGACTTTGGTTTTTTTCTGGGAAAATGTAAGTATATGTTTCTTACTAGCAAGCATTAGGATTTGAAATTAATAAGTTAAGTGAATTTGTTTTTCTCAAGTCATATACTTGTTAATATCACTTGTCATTCAGATATACATTAAACTTTTGGGGCCTATGTTATGTCTGGAACCTTAACTCGTCTTAAATATTAATTTTAGCATTATAGAGGTTTCTTAATAAGTCATGCCTATATTCATGTATATGTTATATACAATATTCAAGCCATTATTAACATATGAGTAGTCAAAAGTTAAAGAGTTCTCCACTGCCGCTGCTCGTACAGGCGCTTGTATATTCCGGCCAACTTGTCGGCGTCCGGCAGGTTATCTCTGATCAGAGCAGCTTTCTTTAAGTTATGGGTCCAAGCGTACAAGCCAGGGAATTCATCGCATGCACAATTCCTCCGAACTCCAAATCCAGGGTGCCGATCTCCTCTCCGGTGAAGAATTTCTTGTCGCCAAGGCATTGTTCTTAGGAATTCGATCGCCTCTGCCCTAGCTTTCTTCACCGCTGCGGGAACCGATTAATCAATGTTTAGTTAGATACTTCAGAAATTTAATTCACCACATAGACACAAACTTATAAATGTTCTAATTAAGCCGATTTGAGTATAAAAAAAATACGTTCAAACTCAACTAATCTCACGAGACAACAGTGTATCCTTACCTCAATTGGGCCGTGCGGCTGTGCAGCGTGGACGGGCAGAGGTCGGGGATCATAAAGAAGAAGCAAGTCCCTGACATTGATGTATTTGGATTGGTTAAACCCTCCACACTGAATAACAGCTATCTTCAAAGCCCTGCAGCTTACCTACTCAACAATGGAAATTCTGAAAATAATGGCCAAAGCTAAAGCTAATTCGAAGAACTGAAGAACAGAATCCAACAACTTCACCATTTTTGGTGGTTCAGAGCAACTCCAACATCCAAGATTGACTAATATTTTCAGCACTACATAAGGAGTAGAGTTCGTACCTATTTGCATATCACCACAAGAATTGTGATCTGAGAGTTCATACGGACTCTGCAACATGTTCAGGCAGTCATCTTTCTCAGCCTTCCTTGCAATGGCAATCATCGTGGTGCATTTTGTTGCGTGTAAGTCTGCCGATGCCGGGGGACACGAACCGGTGCTTGAATTTTATATGCATGACATTTTCGGTGGTGGCAGCCCAACGGCGAGACCGATTACTGGCCTGCTGGGGAACATATACACTGGTCAAGTACCCTTTGCAACACCTATAGACTTCCTTCCCCCAGATGATGGTATTGCAATCCCAAATGCCAATGGTGCTCTCCCTACTGTTAATGGCATCAATGGGATCCCTCTAGGGACTGGCTTGTCTGGCACTACTTTTGCTGGAAATCCCAACCCACAAAATATACCCCACACCCAATTGGGACCTGATGGGTTGGGACTAGGCTTTGGAACGATTACCGTCATCGACGACATCTTAACCATCGCACCAGAGTTGGGCTCGCAGTCAATTGGCAAGGCACAAGGGGTGTATGTGGCTAGTTCAGCTGATGGAACTACGCAGATGATGGTATTTACAGCCATGGTTGAAGGAGGAGAATATGGTGACAGTCTCAACTTCTATGGAGTATACAGGATTGGTAGCCCCTCGTCGCATTTGTCAGTGACTGGAGGAACAGGCAAGTTCAAGAACGCACGTGGGATTGCAGAGGTGCGGTCGCTCATTCCTCCAGGCCAGCACGTCACAGATGGAGCAGAAACATTGCTGAGGGTCATCGTGCATCTAAGCTACTGAAAACCGTGGTCTGTAGTTCCTATCAAATGCATCTGCAAGCTAAAACAAGTAATCTAGTTTTATGAAATTCATATATTTCTCAGTTGTAATTCTTTTGTAATCATACAATGAATGAACTTAGTTGGATTTGATGATCAAATTTAAAAGGGAATACTAAACTGCATCCAATTATTACTAGCGCAATATAAAGATGATAAGGTAATCCATTTGGAGACTTCTCACTGCCAAAACATAAAAGATCTATAAATAGTGAGGAAGAAGAAGAGGTATCGGTTCCTTTGAGAGTCAAATGCATCTCGGATTCACTAAACTACAAAGCAAGGCAAGAAAATCAGTTCTACACAACAAATTCTTGAAGATGGCGTTGATTACAGCAACTACCGAAGCAGTTAGCATGGTTACAGGTCAAATTCACTGTTTATGTTAAATAATCTAATGGAAGAGAAATTCCGAAGACTAGTAGAGTTTTGATTTTAAATGATAATTCAATAAATCATTAGACGAGACATTGGATATTTAAACAATTGCTCAACCGGAATCAACTGGAATTATAGAAAAAATGCCTCATGGAAGATAACATGGTTAGATGAACTGGTATTAACTCAAATCAGAAAAATGAGAAACAAAAATGAATTTAACTCACGTTTTAGATGAACTGGTATCAACAGGTCCACTACTGGAAATAACATGGTGTCCCCGTGCCTGTATCCATTGGATCCAATACTTACATTCGACGAATGTGCTCTGATTTATCCATGCGTCCAGTTCAATCTCGTAACTCTTCTACATTTCACTGTAAGCAACGTACTCATTACTCGCTCAATATGCTCACAAAATGGAAAGAATGCGCATTCGAAAAGATTAAGTTATTCGGAAACATAATCATCCGTAAATTACTCGAAGGAACTCGCAAACAACCAGTTTCACTTAACAATGAGCAACTAATCTACCTATGATGCGAACTCTCAGCATTTGGAAATCGCAAAATCAAAATCAAAACCAGATAATTAGAGAGAAACAGAGGAAATGCAAGAGAAAATTACGCGATTTCAGTACGGTTATGGCAATTACAGTGCCAGAAGCAGAACAACTCGGCAAAGAATCGAGCAAAGGCGAGAAGGGAAGCTTCTTCCCTGTTGAAACGAACGGCGAACGAACCACCAATCCTTCCATTTCTCGTTCTCTTTTCCTTCCTAAAACTTCATATCCACCTACAGTAAAACCATAATACTCGCCGGGCGGCGCGGTTGAACCGGAGAACAGCTCCGAGAAGTTGAATCCCCGCCAAAAATCGGAATCTGAATCCGAAATTGCCACGTCGCAGTTGCAGAGATAAAATGGGATGATTCTCGAATTTGTAAAACGAATTTCATCTGCATTCAATCCTAAGTGATAGCAAATATATGAGACCATTAAGTGATTATTGGGCCTGGGCTTTAGATACAACCCAATAACACTCTTTTGGGCTTGAAATTTGGGCTATTTAACTTCCAATTTTCGATAATTATTATTTTTTTATATAACATTTCATTTTATGTAATTAAAACGAACAAATACCAACTCAATAAATATGAAATAGTAATTATCAGAAATATTTTTAAATATTAAAATCTAATAAGTTTGGTTCATAATAAATACCTATATATATATATATATATATATATATGTGAACGTGAACATAATTCAACTGGTTAAAACATATATGATCGATCGATACGATAAAATCTCTTCCTCTACATATTAGTTAACTAAAAAAATTCGTGTGTAATGAATTCTAGACCTTAAGTTGAACGAGTTGACACGTAAAAAAAATTGCCTTGATTTTTTAAGAAACGATCGATAAAATAAAATATTTAAAAATTAAAAGAAAAAAAAGTGATTTGCTATCATTTTGTGAGTCATAGGGTAAAAGCATGATTGTGGAATTTGTTTTCTAGATAAGAAATCATGACATTATAAATGGGTTGGTGAGCAATTTGACATTTAGTTAACAAAACCAAAATAATCTACAAATGGAGAGTAAAATGTTTATTTAACAAAAAAAAAAAAAAAATTATATTTATATATATATATATACATACAAATTCTTACCGTTAATATTTCGACAAATACTATCTATCAACCTCTCCTACAACCGTTTTAATGTTACTAGGGAAAATTTATTATTATTTTTAAGAACGTGGTATCGATAATAAATATATATTTTTAAAAAAAAATTTATTTTAAAAGTTTACAGTATAATATTAAAAAGTATTTATTAAGGATATTTTTAAAACAAATGATTAACTATTATTTAACTATATTTTCAATTTTTTTTTTAAAGCTTAAAGTTATTTTTGAGATATTTTATCAAAATTTAAGAATATTATTAAAAAAAATTAAAATTTAAAGATATATTTGAGACAGAGTTTGAAAATATTTTTATTAATTTTTATCAATATTTGTGGGGTTTATTTTTAAAACAAAAAAGGTAAATTAAAATTTTATTCCAATAAATTGCACATCTTATAAATAAATCAATATTTCAATATTTTAAATGGAAGCAAAAAATAATAATAATAATAAGAATTTACAAAATAGTACAACAACTCGAATCATCTTAGATCGACACCTCGTTACATAATTGAAAGTCATTGTAAGATGAGTAGTATAGTCCGTGAAACATCATTATTATGTTTTACAAATGCTCGACCTCTACTTTTTTTCTAAATCAAGTGGAAATTGTTGTCATTTTCTTTTTCGTAATTTAAACTATTTAGACTCGTTATTCTATAACGTTACATTACTTTTTATTTATTATTTAATATAATTTATACAGATAAAGAAAAGTCAACGGTACCAATTAAATTATAAACTAATTTCTTTCCAAAAAAAATGTCACTATAATTTTGAAAATAAAATAATAATATTAAAGCAAAAAATTAATAATTTTATTGTTGTTCCAATAAATAATTTTTTAATTATTTATAAATGTATATAAATTATAAACTATTAAAAAATCCTAAACAAATCACAATTTCTTTAAAAAAAAAACATGTTCTCAATAATAACCAAGTAGCCCAAATATTTTTGAAAATTTATTAATATTTCAATAACTATTTTCTTTTAAATATTATCTCTTTTAATTTTTTTATTTGTTTACTTTAATATCGACTCTTGAAATGATAATTAGTGTCTTATCAACTGAGCTATGCTCGAATTGGTACAAAGTGACTCGTTTTTTCTCTAAAAACTATGGGTTTGTCAACGGTAATTAATTTCACGAGCACGATAATTTAAAAAGGTCGGAACAAGATTGTCAAACAATACTTCACAAAAATTAAGAATGATTTTGGATTTCTTCAAAACAAAGGTTGCAAAATTGGATTAAGACTTCCACTTTATAGAGCCAAAGTTGTAATCCAACAAAATATATATTAAACGAAACTTGGTCAAAATCTTTATATAAAACTCCGCTATAAACCTTAAAATATTGACTTGCTTATCATCACAATGGGATCCAAATCATTCCCAATACATATATAGTCTTTTAATGTATATCTATTAACAAAATAAAATAAATACACTATTAACTCGGGTTTAGGTTAGATTATGAACTTATTTGAGCTGGGTCAAGTCCCGATAAATGAAAATTTAATGCATTAGATTGGTTTATGAGTTCCTCTAAAACTAGATCCGGTTGAACCAAACCAACCCAAATTTATAAATTTTAAAATATAAAATTTTATTTCGGATATTTATATTTTATTACTTTAAAATAATTTTGAAATTGGAGGGTACGTTCTAATTAAATATTTTAAAATAAATATATAACTAACATTTTACTTTTATTAAAAACAAAATTATGAATAAATGACTCGAACATCTCGAACCAATTCATTCGGGTTCAATGTAACAAGACAATTGAGTTAGTCTAAAAAAAATGTCGAACACGGGTCACATCAAATTCTCTCTAAAGGCTAGACACGTGGATGAACAAAGAGGGTCACGAGACTTTGACTTTGGAAGTAAATGGCAGTGGATGTCGGCCAAGTTCAACCAATCACTTATTCTCTTTGTTAACAAAAAAGTCCAAAACTTAGTTGAAATAAGAGAATGACCCCACAAGCCCCTCCTTGCAAAAAGTTAACGTTTCTAATTTTATTTTATATTGAATATTTAAAAAAAAATCGTTTTAATTTATATTTCTTTTATTTTGTATTAAAAATGTTAAAAAAATTAATGAATTTGATAAATTTAAAGCGTGACATGGTAAATATTAGTATATAGTCTCAAAGACGAATTTTAATATAATTTCATGAATCATTTTTGCCCTTTGTTTTTTACTTCAGTAAATAAAATATGCTTATCAATAATTACCATTGAAAAAAAAAAAGTACATCAACTTGCATGATTAATTCACATGGTTAAAATTATTGGGTTAGTTTTCTTTGAAAATTTTTATTGGTTGCTAATAAAATTTAATTTTTTTAAAATAATATAAATATAAATATTACTCGATCATCCAAAAATATTTATTTTATTGTTTTTTGAAAAGTCGATAATAAGATAAACTCGTTCTTATCTAAAGAAAGCTACAAAACTATGGTCATAAAAACAAAGCTATATATAAGTCGATTCGTAGATTCGTTATTTTTTCTTCAATTTTAGCACTTCAAAGATATACGACAATTACATTTTCTTTGACTTTATTTCTTTTAAAATGTTAATTTGTGAAAAATATAAATTATATTATTTCATTTTAACCTATTTTTCAAATTTTATATATCTACTAAATGTACAATTTAAAATTTAAAATTTAATTAATTTTAATTAATTAATTGATGTTTCGATAATAACAAACCTACACTTAATTATCAGTATTTTGAATTATCCACAGTACAAGGCTAGGAATAACCATTCCAACGTCTTTTTCAATCACTCAAATTAGAGTTAAAAGAAAGAAGTTTCCGTCGAAACAAGATACCCGACATGATGATGTGGCGGCAAAATTGACATCATGGACCAATCATACACTATCAAATTCGTGGTTGTTGCTTTTTTGCTTACTACCCAATAACATCCATTTCCTAAAACCTATTTCGAAACGATTTCTAAAACATTATTTTTATCTTTTTTTTTTTTTTTTCAGGAATAGGATCAAAGGCTTGAGCATACATTGTCCGTGCCAACGATAAACCAAATTCTAATTGATTGACTTACTCGAAGGTGAGAGTAAATACCGCACGATCACGTTGCAAGTCTTGACAGAGTACGATTGTGAGAGTTGGTATTATTTTTCAAAATTAGTTGATATATTATCGATATAAATTTGAATTTATGACTATCGTACCTCTAAACCTCTAGCTTTGTGTATAGTATATAGATGCAACGAGTAAAAATATATGTTCCCGACAATAAGTTTAGGATTATGTTAATTAATTAAATCTAATTAATTGAAAAATTAGTCAAATTTAAGGCAGATTTGGACCAATGTAGGGCTAGACTTTTAATAAATTATTTTTAGAAAAATAATTTTAATAAATTTGAATAATAAATGGGCAATTATTGACGAATAATTTTCATGTGAACATACAGTAAAACTCACTCACTCCTCACATAATTTATTTATTTATTTTTAAATTGCTTGATTTATACAATATAGAAAATGCAAGTGTGACAATAATCCCATTATGTGGGGCCCACTTTAAAATTTTTGGCAGAGTTATTATGGATTTATTTATTTTATATTTTTCTTCGTTTTTTTTTAATTAAAAAAACTTAATTATTTATTTATAACGGGACGTTACTGCATTAAATATCAAAACTATTAATTTATTAATAAATATGATCTATAGATTTTTAAATTATCTTAAGCAATTTGTATATTAAATATTTTTTCTGTACCCTAAAAGTGGATTTTTCTAATAAAAATAATAATATATATATTAATTCAATTAGAACTGTGGAATGGATAAGGTATGGTTAAAAAATTATATTATATTAAATTTAATGGGATAAAATATTTATTTATTTTACAAGATGCGTCTAAGAGTTTAAAAATAAAATAATCACGTAAGAGATTATTGGTTAAGAGGAACAAACCACCATTTATAAGGGTGTGAAAATCTTCCCTTCTTAATGACGCGTTTTAAAGTTTTGAGGGAAAGTTCGAAAGGAAAAGTAAAAAAAGGACAATATTTACTAGCGGTGGATCAATCTGGGCCGTTACAAATGGTATCAGAGCCAGACATTGAACGATGTGCTAGCGTTCTCGCTGTTCCCCAAAGGGGGTAGACATGAGGCGGTGTGCCAGTAAGGATGCTGGGCCTGGAACGGGGGGATGGATTGTGATGTCATACATTGGTGGTTGGGGAGGGAGAACAAACCACCATAAGAGTGTGGAAACGTTCCCTTAGTAGACGCGTTTTAAA